TGACTGCAGTTCTGCAGTTCGGCTGTTCAAATCTCACCGGCTCAGGTGACTCAGCCTTCCATCCTCCCAAGGTGGGTAAAATGAGGACCCGGATTGTTGTTGGGGGCAATATGCTGACTCTGTAAACCACTTAGAGAGGGCTGAAAGCCCTATGAAGTGGTATATAAGTCTTACTGCTATTGCTAACATATTGAGTTGTAATCTGAGTTACGATAAGATTTGTGATTATCTGTGTGACAATGAATCAACTGTTGTGTCATTCAGGACACCCTTATTTTTCCTCACTGAAAATTTGTGATTGCAATAGCAGCGGTACAATTGGACTCCTAAAGGCACTTGTTTTAAAGTACAAGTAAAGATTCGCTGTTTCATCTGGGCATTTGCAGGGTAACAAGTGTTCTGAAATCTAAATGATGTTAATATTTTATGGTCTTGTTTTATGGGGACTTATTATGTTTTTAATGTTGTTATGTACTTGTCTTTATTAGAAATTGTTCTTAATTGTTTAGTATGCCATTCTGACCTTCTTCAGAAAGAATGATGCACTAATTACATTATTATACGTAGTAAGTTAGAAAAAGATTTTCATTGATTTTCCATATTAGAAAATAACAGGTTATATTTTAAGGGTGTTTGCCTCAAACAAAACACTTAGATATGATAATATAATGAGGTTGGCCTAAAAACTCTCAGAGGAGACTTTTGATGTGTCCTGTCCACCAGGAACCTTTTCATCATGTGGTGAGACTATATTACAATATGTGAGGAGAACTGGCTTATATAATTTTCTTGATTGTTCACTATATTTCCTTACATGTAGGATTGGAATGTATAATGTTTGTGAATTATGCTTTGTTTCATTGTAGTCAGTACAGTGCATAGCCGATGATCATAGTAAGAAATAAAACTACTGTAATCTGCAAAATCCCACATATCCCTTCTGCATTTGAATATGTGTTACGCATGCCCAATATCCATACAATTATCCATCAAACAGTAATATGCATTAAAAGTTGTAATGGTAATTATTGTAGGTCATTATAATTATGCAAACACATAGATGTTACTATGTCTGTCTAATCAATGGGTTTCATTCTTGTGTGCAGGTAATGTAACAGTTGTTCCAATTGTTAAAACCATTGGGTTGGGACTTGGCCTTTTAATCTGGGCTTCTTTTAACTTGCTAACTGGCTGGGCAAGTTCAAGGTAAACATGATGCATGCTTAACATTTACTCTTGGAGCCAACCGTATATTTGTACCATTTAATCAAAGATCAAAAATAAACTTCTTGGAGAAAGATTTTCTTCTTTACATCAGAGGTCCCTAATCTCTGGTCCATGGAGTGGCACCGGTCCACAGCAACTGGGCTGTGCAAACAAGCGAAGCCCCGTCTGTGGTATGCAGGCAACACGCTAAACCACACTGCCTTCGGTCCACAGAAAAGCCTTTTTCCATGGAACCGCTCCATGATACCCAAAAGGTTGGGGGCTGCTGATTTCCATCATACCTATTCGTAATGAATTGTACAAGAGGATTACATTCTCTTGCTCACAAGATTAAGTTTAGAAATATGTACTTGTCATTGGTGGCCTCAAGAAGTTGCAGACCTCTTTTGGAAGATTCTTTCCCCTCTCTTCCCCCCACCCCCTTAGATAAGTTCACCATAACATAAAGCATGTAGAAATGCTAATAAGCATTAAGCGTTTAATAGGTGTCAGTCTGTTAGAGGCAATAATATGTTTGTATCTTAGAAGAATTTTAATTTTTTTCAAAATCTTCAAAATAGTGTTATCCCTAAAGAGCATGATATTTCAAGTGTTTAAAATGCAATAGTTTAGTTGTATAAGTTGTCTCCTTGCCTGCCTGCCTTTCCACACAGTGAAATCATTAATTAGGGAAACTCCATAACTGTAGCTTGAGTATTCCTACTACATGAAGATATACAAATAAATCTCTCCAGCAGGGAGCCATCAAGGGTGAGCAATGTGTGGTCCTTTAGAAGTTGCTGGATGATATGTTCAATATCAGAAAGCATTTATTTGTATATCTGCATGTAGCAGGAATAATCAAGCTGCAGTTATGGTGCACAGTGAGATCTAGACAGAGGTAGGTTCCTACCAGTTCGCACCAGTTCGGTAGAACCGGTTCGTCAAATCTACCGAACCGGTTAGAAGAGGTTTCACCAGAAAGCAG